CCCCAGAACCCTAAACCCTAGAACCCTAAACCCCTAAACCCCTAAACCCTGGAACCCTAAACCCCTAAACCCTAGAATCCTAAACCCTAGAACCCTAAACCCCTAAACCCTAGAACCCTAAACCCCTAAAGCCCTAAACCCTAAACCCCTAAAACCCTAAAACCCTAAGCCTTTGGTTCTCAGGGCGGCGATGGAAAGGGGCCTTGATCTGAGGAAGCAAGCTCTGAAAGCCATGGTTTGGGTTTAGGGTTTAGGGTTTAGGGTTTAGGGTTTAGGGTTTAGGGTTTGGGGAACACTAAACCGTAAATTAGGGTTTTGCAGATCGTGTGACAAGAGTGCTGTACATGGCTTTTAAGGCACATGTGCACAGAAGCTGTGCCGACTTGCAATCGACTTGTGGCTCAAGAAAAAAAACAGTGTGGTCTGAGCGAGTCACTTAGGTGACGAATGTAAGACCTAACCATGGATGCTAATGACTCCCAGGATGCTCCTCTGCAAGAGTTGCCCTCACGACATCGTCAGGTTATGAGCCCAAGGGGCGAAGCTGCGCAGGTACGAGTTCAAGGACGACGAGGTGGGGATTTGCCTAACGGGGTCGACAGACCGAGTGCAAGACCCTCAGATGATGACGCAGCGTACGCACGAGCGTTGGAATCCGGACTGGGCGCGACACGTACGGAAACCGCACAAGGTACGACGACTTATCCAGAGGGATCGATGTCAGCCATCAGGACGGAGTTGCCAACAGCGAGAGCAACACCGGCAGTGGATATGGGAGTGAATGATGTTTTCTTGTCCCCGACTCCAGGGGATGATTCAATTCGTGACCGACCTCTTCTACCTCATGCAGCTGTGGCACAGCGAACTCCGGAGGCGAGCACAGGTGAGATGGCTCAGGGGAACTTGTTGCCATCACCGCTGCCGACGCCAATGACGCATGCGGCAAGGGCAGCAGAGACACCTCAGTCTGGTCTGGGACTGGCATTTGCGCAACATGGAGCTAGTGCTGCAAGATGGTTTACAAGACTTGGGGAGTTTGTGCAGAGGAGGGTGGCTCAACAAAGCAGACCAGGCCTAGAGACTACGCTAGTCCAAGAGACAGTTTGGACTCCGGGAGGATCTGCAAGACATGTAACCCCTGCTCAGTCCGAGACACAACCTTTGTTCGATGCTGGACAGACAAGGCGCTTGAGAGAAATGTCTTTGGCGGCGCCGCAACTCTACGGAAGTACAGCACAGAGGAATGGAGGCTCGGACTCGTCAGCTTCGTATACCAGAGAGCAAATGGAGCTAGAAGTTCGACGACAAGTTGAGCAGGCGATGCAAGGACAGCAGGGTTTGTCGGAGGAGAATCAGCGCTTGAGAAGGGAATTGGAGACTGTACGAGCACAGGCTTTGCAGGTCTTGGAAGTCTCTCAGAGGGAGCGCAGCGTGGGAAGGCCAGAGTTCGTGAATGCAGTGAGAGAAGGGGGTGTATCCGAAGGCAATCCACCACCTGGACTTTCTGTACACAATGGCGGACAGGAGGGCTTGAACGGAGCGCGGCTCCATGGAGCAACGGACCAAGGTGCTCAGGGAGAACACCGCGTGCAGGATGACGAGCAGAGGCCAGAGGCTGTTCTGGGGTCGCATGGAGCACGGCGGGAAGGATTTTCTGAGCGAATGGGCCGAGCCTATGGGCGCGGTAAAGCGGAACGGGCGCGAAGCCATAGCGAACCTAGAGGTTATCTTGCGGATCTTCTAGGTCGTTTTGGAGGGTCCGAAGGGCACGAGGGCAATGGTGGTCACGGCGTATCTGGCGGCAATCCTTTGGGACTACCGGAGCGTGTTGGTGATGCTAGAGGCTTTCTTGCCAATCAAGGAGCGGGTCAAGGCGATCGGGAGTCGACTTGGTTTGCATCGAAGGAAAGGGTCGCTTCTGCAGATAGAAGTTATGTATCCGGAGGCAATCCACCTGGACTTTCGGTACACAATCGCGGACAGGAGGGGGTCTTTCAGAATGATGTTCAGCACGTGCAGGGCATGACAGGTGATCAGGGCATAAGTGGTGGACACACGTTTCCATTTCCCAGTGATGATGTTGCTGGACAGGCACAGCAGGGTCCAAGTCCTGGAGTGGGAGGTGGGCTATCAGATGCCAGTCACATGGATGCACTGCTACGGGGAATGGCCCAGCTACAGGCGGCGATGACCATGCAGTTGGGTATGGCAGCTACGAAGTCAGAGGCGATAAGACCAGGTACGAGCGGCGCGGAGTTGCCTAAGCTGGTGGAGGCGGACGAGTTTGCTGCGATCAATGTGGGAGATTGGTTGCATGGTCTCTCAGGCCCAATGGGGGATTTGACGGATGGAAGCTCGCAATGGTGGTCAGAGATGATGGTTTGCCTGGACCAGTTCTACCAGCAGTTTGTGACCTCCTCGGCGGTGAAGAAGTTACAGTTGAAGGCGGAAGACTTCATGTCAAAGATGCTGAAGGAGCCTCGGTGGCATCGTGTGGACAAAAGGGCAGCCTCAATGCTGCTGCAAGCAGTACCGGAGGCTATCAAGTCAGAGTTGCTGGCGAACCGTCTGAGTTCAACACTTGGTATTCTAGGACGAATACTCACCATATATCGTCCGGGTTCAGCTGCGGAACGACAACAAGTACTGAAGGCCCTAGAGGCTCCAAGTGCTAGCGGATCTCCAGTGGAGTTGGTTGAAGTGCTTAGAAAGTGGGCGCGTTGGCTAAAGCGAGCACAAGATCTTGGACTACAAGTACCAGACGCTTCAATATTGCTGAGAGGACTAGACGCAGCAACGAGGGGGCAGCTCTCTCAGTACCACGAGGTTAACTTCAGAACAAATATATTGAGGTTCAGCCTAGACTTGGATGCAGCCCCAACGCTAAGCAACGTGACCAGGTTCCACCACCATCTCCTCGGCGAGTTTGAGCAGTTGGCCTACAGAGGACGTGGAAAGGGGGGTACAGCAGCAAGTGCAGTGATAAAGAATGTAGCGGTGACCGGGGGCGAAGCAGCAGGATCCTCTACCCCGAAGGGTGGCAGCAGTCCACAAGCGGCTACATCAAGACCATGCAAATTCTATGTGTCAGAGACTGGGTGCCAGCGAAGTAACTGCAAGTTTGCTCATGATTGGTCTGCAATACCCAAGGAAGAGCGTGCTGAGAGATGCAAAGGGTGTGGGGGAAAAGGCCACATGCGAAAGAACTGTCCAGTGAAAGGAGCAGGCCAAGATGGTGGGCGTCGTGGTGATGAAGGAAAGGGTGGGCAGCCACCTAAGGTGCGGAACGCAGCAACCACCAGTGGCAATAAGGGCTCCGATGGAAAAAGAGACGATGGCACAGTACCTCAGAGCTCGTCGGTGACTTCCAGCACCCCGGCGTCTTCGTCATTGGGGGCTTCTACGGACTCGTCACAAGGAGGCGGGGGTCTGGCAGCACAAGGTGCTGGGACCTCTAACAAGGAGATGGATGACTTCTTAAAGAACGCGGCCCAGGTGTTGAAGATGATGACGGATCAACAGGGGCAAGGTGGCGGTGGACACCCTTCCATGAAGATGTTGAAGAAAGTGGCGGCACAGTACGAAGCGAAGATGGCTTTGGTAGACTCGGGGGCCACACACCCGTTGCGGAAGGCGACTACCAGTGAATGGATGGAAGCCCCAGAAGTTGATGTGGTGGTGGCAGGCGATGCTACAACTCGCATGCGTCAAAACACCTCTGGAACTTGGCTGACGCAACCCACGGAGGACATGGCTGGTTCGCAAACTATATTGCCAGTGGGAAGCCTGGTGAGTGTTCTGGGTTATGAACTTCGGTGGAGTCGAAGGAGATGTTTTCTTAGGGCTCCAGACGGCAAGGAGATTCCGCTGAAGGTGTCCTCGGGGTGTCCGGAGGTGGATGAGGCCAAGGCTTTGGAGCTGATCGCGGAGATTGAGCAGGGGAATGTGGACCGACTCAACCAAAGCATGAAGGCGACACAGGTGGCAATGCTGCGGGCGTGTGTTGTGGAGCGGGATGATCAATGGGAAAGGAGCCTGGAGTGCTACGTGCAGAACGGGGCCTTCGAGGATGGGTTTCGTGCATTGGTTTCATTCCCCTGGGCGAGGGATCTACCTCGTGAAGATCTGGTTAAGGCGGTCACGGATCTCCCGAAGGATGCAGCCGAAGCGTGGTCGCTTATGTTGCAGCTGGGTTTCAATCGCCGGATGAGAAAGCGCATGATGCACAAGGACTGGATAGTCAAGCTCTTCAGTGGTGCACGAACTCCAATGGACAAGATGTTTAAGGCGTTGGAAAGCAATGGCTCTATGGTGTTGGATGTGGACATTCAGAGGATGACTACCTTGGATCTTCGGACCCCAGGGGATGGCATCATGAAGCTGTTGCTATGGGGAGCTGCGACAGGAAGAGTAGCGGCTGTTATAGGAGGAGTACCCAGAACCAGCACAAGAGAGAATTTGGTTAGAGCTACGGTGCTTGTGGAGATTGCCAAGGCTGGTCGTTGCAGCATGTGCAAGGAGGCAGATGTTCCTATGGATGGAGTCGCCACGGCTTTGTGGGCGTCGTCGGAGGCCGAGGAGGATGAGACGTCGGAGGTGTGGACACAACCCTGGTTCAGAAGATGGGTGGAGGTGCATTCGCTGGATGTACTTCACTTCGAGCAGGGAGGTCTGGGGCACTCTTTGAGGAGACCAACGGTGCTGGTGACCAACCTGGATGTTTCTGAGCTACGAGGAGTACGTGATTCACGACAATCTCATGATGCAACCTCCTCTTCGTGGGCGGCGTGGGCTCCTATGCTATCAAGGACGTTGGTGCAGGGTTTGAAGAGATGGAAGCAACGCCCAGGATGGCTACCAAGGATGATGAGAGCACTCAAGGCGGTGGATAGAAAGATGTGGGAAAAGCATTTGGCGAACGACCACATACCCTACAGAGCAGACTGTTTGCAGTGCATACACAATTCCACGGGCAGGCCTCACCGTCGTTGCCTACATCGAGACTGCTATGTGTTGAGCGCCGATGTGTTGGGACCAGTAAGAATAGCAGGACCAAAGGGGGAGCGACATGCTATTGTGTTCACGTACCAGTTCCCCAAGCAGTCCATGGTGCCAGAGGACCAACCGATCCCAGAGGAAGAACTAGAAGGTTGGAGCTTGGATGTTGCAGAACCCAAACTTCAAGAACTACCACCAGAGGACTATGACTACGAGCCAAGTGAAGTTCTGGATCCGGAGCTGTCTAAGGAGGAGCTGGGGGAGTTGAAGGAGGCGCAAGCTGAGGAGACGCACCCAGTGGACATGGCGGAGATTCACAAGCTCAAAGCGGGTAAGAAAGACAAGGAGTCTCAGGATGATTGGTGGGAGTTCAGGGAAGCTACGGGAACTTTGATCCGGCATCACGTGGCGGCAAGGAGACAGCTTTTTCGGCCTACGTCTTGGAATGGATGCCCAGTGCACCCAGCAAAGTTGGACCCGACGAGAATTACCGAGATTCAGTATGAAGGAGGAGGTGTGGACATGGAAACTTCAGACTGGCATGGCATACAGTCGGGTGCTAGAAAGTTGGATCGAATGTGGAAGGGGCAGACTACTTTTCGTATTTCACCAGCGGAGGACCCTGAGGAGGAAGAGATGTTGAAAAAGGATGAGGAGAACTGGGAAAAGATCATCGGCGACCTCACGCAGCCTGTCGAGTTGGATACGATTTATATGGTGTACCCTATCCGAGCCAGACGAGGAGGAGATGCTATGTTGGCAATCCAAGAGGCGGTGTTGAGGTTGAAACTTTGGGGATACCCAGTTGCCAGACTACATACGGACCGTGGTTCGGAGTTTGCATCGAAAGGGTTACGCAAATGGCTGCTAGATCACGATATCTACCACACCCGCTCGGAAGCTTTAGTCCCTCAGACAAACGGAGCTGCAGAACGTGGAGTACGATGGTTTAAGACAAGAGCCAAGGTGTTGTTGGATGAGGCCAAGATCCCTATGAAGTTCTGGACTTTGGCAATGCAACATGCGGCAAATCGGAGGATCTATGACCGTCTTGGACTTCAGAAACCGCAACTGTTACCTTTTGGGTCTGAGGTGATGATCAAGCGCAAAATCTACGGCAACAACAAGAAGTATGACCTCATGGACAGGTGGGAAAAGGGGAAGTACTTGGGTCTATCTGACTCAATCAAAGGTGGCTCGATTGTGTTACGACCCAGTGGTGTGGTAACGGAGACTCTGAATTTGAAGATGGATGTGGTGGATCCTCATGTACTACTATCGGAACCTCGGGAGACGGAGATGGATGATGGAGGAGGTGTAGGGCCAATGAATGTGGAGGAACGACCTGTTCTACACCTACCGGAGCCAGATCATCGTCTACGAGGAAAACGACCCCCACCGGAACTTCGAAAGCTAGAGGCTGAGGACTTTCAAGGGAGGAGTGTTAAGCCAACAGGGTGGACAATGAGGTCGATGCTACGTTCCCAAGAAGACCGTGCTAAGTACCTGTATGATATGGGCAAGTTCGATGATGAGTCGTGTGCAAGACTTTTACAGGAAATGGACATAACAGGAAAGACGAGGACTTCGTCGAGGGGCACGGGAACTTCAGCGGCGGTATTGGGCGCATTTGTTCATGGAGGCATGAGGGGAATAACGTTGGCAGCTCGAAAACGGAGCTGGCTCACGAAGTATCTCAATATGGTACTGAGACTTCGGGTGGCAGAGGACCTGAGTGAGGATGCTACATGGACAACGCTTGGTGTCTTTAAGGCCGCGGACATTCCACCTCACAAAGATCTACGGAACCAACCGGGCACCAAGAACTATGCTACAGAGGTTGGTAGTAGGGTCACACACGGACTTTGGGTCGCAAAGTGCAATGGTGATACGGGTTGCCAAGGAGGAGGAAAGAAGTTGGACTACTCCAAGGTCATGCCTGATGGAGGTGTGGTGCTAGGGGACATTGTGAAGATCAATGGGTATGCGGTGTCCTTTGACCCAAGGACAATGCACTCCTATGTGGATAAGGAAAAGGATCGCTGGATATTGGCTGGGTTTACACCATTGGGGGTGGAAAAGCTCAAACCGGAGGCGGTAAAGCAGTTGCTACAAATGGGCTTTCCTTTGGAGGGATCCTCGGTGCCTTTGGATGGTGTTGAAGGGAGTGATCAGTCGGCTTCTATGTCATCGTCTGAGGAGGAGTCTGAAGGCGAGGAGGAAGATTGTGTAGAGTATAAGGCCAAGGTCCTTCGGTGTGGATTGGAGCAACAGGAATCACTACGGGGAGAAGGAGAACATCGAGATGAGTGTGCTCTACGTATGGAGACCTTGCTGGAGGATTTTGGGAACAGTATCCGAAGATCGGAAAGGAGACGTATGAAAAAGATTATGAAGGTCTCTCCGGCGGCGGCTGCAGATGTGGAGGTGGAGCAGTTGCTGAATGAACTACAAGGTCCGTTAGAGGTGGTGCACAATGTGAGCCTTCCAGAAGTTAAGAAGTACATTTCCAGGTGGACACCAGCCATTCAGAAGGAGGTTCAAGCTTTGTTGGACAGCGGGACTATAAAGAGGCTATCTCCGCAAGAGGCACGAGAGCTACGGCAACAAGGGATGATCATTCTTCCTTCGAAAGGGGTCTTTACGGCCAAGCCGCCGATTGAGACGAAAGAGCCAGACTCTGGAAGATTCAGACGCAAGTGCAGAATTGTTGTCTGCGGGAACTATCTGCCTCAGAGCGGCACGGCAGTCTACGCGAGCGGAACATCAGCCGACTCGTTTCGGCTTTCGGTTGCCTATGCGGTTTACAAGAAGTGGTCTGCAGGAAGTACAGACATCTCCAACGCCTTCACGCTAGCCCCTATGCCAGGCGATGTTCTTTACGGGTTGCAGCCACCAACGGTGGTGGGCATGGCTGATGAGACCCAAGCCGGTGAAGTATGGTTGATACAACGCGTGCTATATGGGTTGAGGGAAGCACCTCGACTATGGGGACTGTTTCGAAACAACAGGTTCCAGAACGCGAAGATCCCGTACGGCTTGGAGACTTTGGTGTTGTCGTGCATGGAAACCGACGAGAACGTGTGGATTGTACGGAGGGAAGGAGGGCGTGAAGTACAAGGTATGATGTTAGTATATGTCGATGACCTGTTGTTTCTTTCAAGTCCCTCAATCATACAGTGCCTCTACGACTGGTTGGTGGGAGGATGGAAGTGTACGGCGTTGGAAAAGATCGAGAATGGGTTCATCAGGTTTTTGGGAATGGAGTTGCGGCTATGGAATGATGGTTGGCACATTTCCCAAACTGGTTACATTCGAGATCTTCTACGACAAAATGGGATGGAAGAGTCTGATAAGGGCTTGACGGTGCCATGTGCCAGAGAGTGGTTGCAAGATGAAGATACTGATGAGGATAAACCGCAGCAGGACGAGGCCCTGGTGAAGATGGCTCAGAAGGCTACAGGGGAGACGTTGTGGTTGAGTACCCGCAGTAGACCGGAACTGGCACACAGCGTGTCGTGTATGGCATCACGGGCTTTGAATCAGCCTCAGAAGGCATTGGAAATCCACAAACGTGTTCTTCAGTATTTGGCAAGGACGGTTGACTACGGCATGAACTACTACCATGATGACAGCGAGCCCTTGCTAACTGTTTACTCGGACGCGAGCTACGCACCCGGTGGAGGGCGATCCTTTGGTTGCATCATGGCGCAGTTGGCAGGCATGCCTATAGCGTGGCGGGCTAGCAAGCAACCAGTGATCACGCTTAGCGTGGCGGAAGCGGAACTCTATGAAGGGGTCTCAGCGGTGCAGTTGGGCCTGGGAGTGGAGGCGATGCTACGTGAACTGGGTGAGGATCCGGTGATGGTGCTAAAAATAGACAACCAAGCGGCGCAAGGCCTGGCGAGTGAAGCGGCGGGATCATGGAAAACACGCCATTTGAGGATACGTGCTCGGTTCCTACGGCAAGAGGTTAATGCAAAGCGGCTGCACATCGCCCACGTGGGTGGAGATTACCAGAAGGCGGACATCGGGACCAAGGCCTTCGATCTCCCTAAGTTCCGAACTTTGATGGCATTGTGGAACATGGTGCCGTGGTCCACGCATGATGCTACTAAGATGATGGTGAAGACGATGTCGGTTGTGAACAACAAGCGTCCGTTGATCTTCTTGTTGGTATGTATGATGATCATCAAGAGTGCCGGAGCTACGAAGGAGGACCTGGCTTTGGACGGATCTTTGGAGTTCTATGCGGTGACGAGCTTTTTTGTGGTTGCAGCTGTGGCTGTTTGGGAACTGCTGAAGAGAATGTGGGCAACTGTCTATCGATGGTGGGTAGCTTCAAGAAAGAAAAAGGAGAGGTTAGAGAGGCTGCGAACACGAGCGCAAGTGGCAGTCCAGGAGGAGATTCGGAGGTATGATCTCGAACACCCCTCGCCTACTTCCACGCTTAGGACGGTGCCTACTACGAGACGCTCTTCTTTGAGCACGGGATCTGGATCCAGTATGACTTCGAGGTTGACATCAACAACAATGAGTACAAGGTCAATGGCTACGCAGACGGACCCGCAAGGAGCAATGATACCGGCTTCGAGGCTGGCCGCGTACACAGGGCCATTTTACTTGACAGCACATGGGGACAAAGTTCATATGACATCGTACTGTCACGGTCAGCGAAATGCTACTCGACCGTCGAAACGGTACGACCTATGCGACTACTGTGACAGGGCACGCGGCTTGTATGTGCTAGTGCCCCCAGTGGACGACTAATAGCAGCTTCTGTCAACGACTAATGTAAAGACTCCTCTGTTCCAAAGGCCAAGAGGAGAGGAGGAGTGCAGATCGTGTGACAAGAGTGCTGTACATGGCTTTTAAGGCACATGTGCACAGAAGCTGTGCCGACTTGCAATCGACTTGTGGCTCAAGAAAAAAAAACAGTGTGGTCTGAGCGAGTCACTTAGGTGACGAATGTAAGACCTAACCATGGATGCTAATGACTCCCAGGATGCTCCTCTGCAAGAGTTGCCCTCACGACATCATCAGGTTTCGGGTTTAGGGCTTAAGTTTAGGGTTTCGGGTTGAGGGTTTAAGTTTAGGGTTTAGAGTTCAAGGTCAGGGTTTTAGTTTAGGGTTTAGAGTTCAAGTTTAGGGTTTTAGTGTAGGGTTTCGAGTTCAAGGTCAGGGTTTTAGTTTAGGGTTTAGAGTTCAAGTTTAGGGTTTTAGTGTAGGGTTTAGAGTTCAAGGTTAGGGTTTTAGTTTAGGGTTTAGAGTTCAAGTTTAGGGTTTTAGTTTAGGGTTTAGAGTTCAAGTTTAGGGTTTAGGGTTTGGGGTATCCTAAACCCCGAAATCCCAAAGCTTGACTGCGGATCCGGGAGCGCAATGTACATCTCACAACGACCTGCTTGTTCAAGGGTGTTCGGTTTAGGGTTTAGGGGTTTAGGGTTTAGGGTTTAGGGTTGTTAACTCAGGGGCTGAGTAGGTATCCTTTAACCTTTTGGGGCTCATCTAATCCTACTATAGTGAAAAAGGTTAAGTTTTTTTGGGCTAGGATATTCAGCCCCTGTGTTAATGTTGGAATAAACTTAGCTTGAGCCGAAAGCCCTTATTATTGTTGAGTCTAAGTGGGTTTAGGGTTTAGGGCTTAGGGTTGCTATTCGAGGACCATCCAGGATAGTCATTGGCAGGCCCGGGTTAATGTAGGGGCCTAAATAATTACCCATACTGCTTTGTGGGTTCCTTGTTATAGTTTTGCTATACTATAACCCGAAACCCCTTAAACCCTAAACCCTAAGCCCTAGTAAGACCCCTATTATGTTTTTTTTTTGGGGGGGTTCTCATTATAGTTCTAATTCTGGTATACTATAACCCGAAACGCCTTAAACCCTAAACCCTAAACCCTAGTAAGACCCCTATTTTACCCCCCAGACCGAAGATGGCCCCAGGCACATCAATGACCTCACCGGTGCCAAGGTCCTGTGCAGCGGGAGGGAGTGAGACTGGAAAGGCTTGACAAACCACCCTAAACCCTAAACCCTAAACCCTAAACCCTACCCTACGCCTCGGATGGCTGTTATGGCTTACGGTTTAGGGTTTAGGGCTTACGGTTTACGGGTTTAGGGCTTACCCTAAGGCTCTTATTGCTGTCATGGGCTCTCTAGCGGAAGCTTTGGGCTTTGGGGGCTAAGGTTGGGGCTTTCCCCGTAAACTCCAGTCGTAGCGCATCCTGCGAAACGGTAACAGGCTATGGCTCGTAATCAGAGGGTATGACCCTAGCCCCTCGCCCAGAAACAAGAATGCGCCACTACATCAGGCAGCTTCTTGACTTTGTTGCTTCGGGTTTAGGGTTTAGGGTTTAGGGTGGTTTCGGGTTAAGGGTTTAGGGCTTTAAAGTCTAAAGTGGGTGTTTCGTGCCAAGAGCCTCGCAGAACCGTTAACAGAGCCCTCACGGTTCTCAAGACGGAGGGGGCGCGGGTGTCTAGGTTCCCAGAGACTCCAATATCCTTAATTAAGGAATATACCTTAAATTATAATGGGATCCCTAATAATTTAAGGTATATTCCTTAATTAACGGGTTTGGGAGTGTCTAGGTTTAGAGCCCAGAGTTCGGAGCATCCTAAACACCCCAACCCCTACACCCGAAACCCTAAACTGGGCCCTGAACCCCTAAAGACCCCAACCCCTACACCCTAAACCCTAAAATGGGCCCTGAACCCCTAAAGACCCCAACCCCTACACCCTAAACCCTAAACTGGGCCCTAAACCCCTAAACCCTACACCCCTAAACCCCTAAACCCTAAACCCTAAACTAGATCCTCAACCCTAAACCCTAAACCCTAAACCCTAAACACGGTGTTCAAAGAGGTAGTTGGGGAGTCTAGGCTTGGAGGTCCAGGTCCGGGGAGCATCCCGTGTTCTATATGCCTCCAGGCCCGGTTTAGGGTTTAGGGTTTAGGGTTTAGGGTTTAGGGTTTAGGGTTTTGTTTTTTTTTGGGGCTTGGGGTTTAAAAACTTTAGGGTTTAGGGTTTTGGTTTCAGTAGGGTTTGGGGTTTAGAAGTTTTAAGGTGTTGGTTTTATTAGGGTTTGGGGTTTAAAACTTTTAGGGTTTGGGGTTTTGGTTTTATTAGGGTTTGGCGTTTAGGGTTGGTTCAGGGTTTAGGGCCCATGTCTGACAAAGGTAGGGCCAAACTTAAGTCCCCGCAGTGTGTGTACTCAGGACATATGCAGCATGCTCCAGAGGTGCTGTGTTTTGGTGTAATCCCTAAACCCTAATCCCGAAACCCTAATCGTAAACCCACGAAGGGCGGGTGTTGAGGCCTGCACATTTCCTACCGCCTAACCCTAAACCCTAAAACTTAAACCATGGGTTTACAAGCACCAATACCCGAAGACCGCGACAGAGTCACAAACCAGACGAGCATGAGGCCTGGGGGTATACAAACACCAAACCCATCTCTCTCTCTCTCTCTCTCTCTCTTTCTCTCTCTCTCTCTCTCTTTCTCTCTCTCTCTCTCTTTGTTCTCTCTCTCTCTCTCTCTCTTTCTCTCTCTAGCACATAAAATATTGTTTAAATTAACGCATTGTTATACAGCATCTTTACGCATCTTTACGTTCATATATATATATATATATGCACACCCTGACTCTCTCTCTCTATATATACATACACACACATATATAAGTGTGTTTGTGTGTGCTTAACTGTTCACTATTATTGCACTGATGCATCTATTTGATTACGTGTTTAGAAATGTAGTTTGCATTTCAGTACATGCATGATATATATATATATATATGTATATATATATATATGTATGTATGTATGTATGTATGTCCCCGGCCTAGTATAGTAACGTTCACAATCTCCAGAATGAGAAAACCTGGGACAATTGCTAAAGGATCCGTATACAAGCCTTCTGGAGCATAATGCTCAAGCCATGCCCCAAGCCCCAAAACCGTACAACTCTTCCCACTGAAAAGCAGGTTCGTCTGCGGGGTCGTGGCAGTGGTCACTGGGAGGACGCCGTGCGCAAAGGCCCCTGGCCCAAAGGCGAAATTAAATCAGCAAGTCTGTAGGATGCCATACAGATCCAGACCGGTTTTCAATTTTTTCCCCAGGAATCCACTTGGCCTTGCTTACCCTATTCTTGACGAGCACCTAGGACACGTCAGCCAAACATGAATATGACGATCTCTAACGTTTTCTGCACATATATATATATATATAGAGAGAGAGAGAGAGAGACATATGTGTGTGTGTGTGTGTTCTGCGCTACAAATAGACACACGGTTTTAAAGCGCAGAAAATTCTCGGACTTGTTGGGTATATCTCTCTCTATATATCTCTTTCTCTCTCTCTCTCTGTCTCTCTCCCTGTCTCTCTCTCTCTCTCTTACTTTGGCTGTATATACGAATATGTTTGTGAGGATGTACGTCTGTATGTGATATATATATATATATATATATATGTGTGTATACTTTATTTGCTTACGATAACTATAACTATATGTATAAATCCACTGTTTGTGTGCAAATCTGTCTTCATATCTGTATACATACCTCAGTGTGCGGATGCTCGAGGATGCGAAGTTTCTTCTTTTCACTAGGTACTTGGATCCTACACCCAAAACCCTAAAACCTGAAGCCTAAGCCGAAATCTCCAACCGAAAACTCTAAACCCAAACCCCTAAACCCTAAATCCTAAACCCTAAATCCTAAACCCTAAACCCTACACCCTAAATCCTAAACCCTAAACCCTAAACCCTAAACCCTGAGCCTCAATCTCCGACCCAAAGCTCATTTGCAAGCTTCGCCCGGCTCCAGGAGCCCCAAACTAGAACCAGAATTCCCCAAGGCTCCATGGACCCACATAGGGTTTAGGGTTTAGGGTTTAGGGTTTAGGGTTATTTGTTATTTAGGGTTTAGGGTTTAGGGGTTTAGGGGTTTAGGGTTTAGGGTTATTTGTTATTTAGGGTTTAGGGTTTAGGGCTAGGGTACCTTATCTTGGGGTCCTGATAACAAGCATCCTACTAGTTGGGGTCCTATATCAGGGTCCCTTATTTTCTGAAGCTCCCATAGAGTAGATACTTGGGCCTTACAGCAAATCCCAGAAAAGTTGGAACGGGGGTTTAGGAGGATTGGTGCCAGGATCCCCTATGCCTTACCGTGAGGGCATGAGGGTTTAGGGTTTAGGGTTTAGGGGATAATCATGCTCCAACTTTCTGGCTTATGATATGAAGCACCTGTTTATGGACAACTTTAAGGCCAAAGTATCTACTATAAAGGTACATGGAGCCTTTGGGATTGTGAATCGGCCCTTAACCCGAAACCCAAAGCCCTAAAACCCTAAAACCCTAAAGCCCTAAGCTCTAAACCCTAAACATTAGCCCTAAACCTTAATCCCTAACTCCAATGCCCTCAAGATCTTGGCCTCAGACTTAAACCCTAAACCCTAAACCCTAAATCCCAAAATAAAGCCCTTGGCTTTGGTATAACAGCCAAGGTGGCAAATGCTGGCGTGAAGCGCCAGTTCCGCTCATGATAGCGAATGCCTCGACCCTTTGTAAAACTTCCTTTCAAGTCTTCTATTTCGGGGCCCTTACCTGTTACTATGAGGGCTATTAAAGAATCGTCCTTAATAAGTCTATGAGGGTTCAACGACGGTGTTTAAGGGTTTGTTTAAGGGTTTAGGGTTTAGGCTTTGGGTTTAGAAGGGCTTTGTAAGGGTTTTTTGGGGTTCGGGGGAGTCGGGGATTCTTGAAGGTAGGGTGCAGAGTTTAGGATCCAGGGCCTCTCCATGCGAAGGGTTTGGGGTGTAGGAGTTATAAAATGTGAGGGTCCACCAGTCCCCTTCAAGTCGCTTCGTCGCTGTAAGTGTAAGTGTAGCAAGGCCAAGCCTTATACCCTGCCCTCTCTACACCCTAAGCCCTAAGCCCTAAGCCCTAAACCCTAAACCATATACCCTACCCTCTCAAAACAAACCCTAAACCATGTACCCTACCCTCTCTACAGCCCTAAAGGCTCCTTACACTTGGGGAGTCCCTCATCGGATTTAATTCAGGGTTTAGGGTTTAGGGAGGGTAGGGGTTTAGTGTCTTAGGGTTTAGGGTTTAGGGTTTAGGGTTTAGGGTTTAGGGTTTAGGGTTTAGGGTTCAAGGCACGGTGTCTCTAAATTGCTTTTCGCTCCTGAGAGGCCTGAAAGGGCTCCTTTCAGCGTTCCCTGAGGGATGCTTGAAGGTTACTTTAGGGCCAGGTTAAGGGTTTAAGGTCGTTGAGGGTTTAGGGTTTTTAGGGTGTAGGGTTTAGGGCTTTAATTAGGGTGCAGGGTTTAGGGATTTAGGGGTTTGGAGTTTTAGAGCTTGCCTCCCTTGTGGGGCTGCAACAGGCCGCTCTACTCAACTCTACTATACTATACTATACTATACTTACTCTACTATATACTCTCCGATGTCCTTCACTATACTGTATTGTACTATACACTACTATACTATATTATACCAAGGGGTGTGTTATTCGCACGAATGAGTTTGGGTGAGCCATGCCGGACCTGCGGTTGATGGTCAAGGCCTTCCTGCCGCGTACTCCCACTGCGAAGACTGCCTACTGGGAAGGACTTCGCGATAGAACGCGAATACCACATGTGTCCAGCGCCCAGTGTTGAGCCAGCAGTTTGCACGTGGAGTTACTTCTCGAGTTTTCTGTGGCAGGCGGCGGCGGTGTCTATCGCGCTTGGTGGGACCGTCGGTGAGTTGAGGCTCCAAATCGGGGATGCCGTGAAGGTTCCGAAGGGTAAGCGTGCCAAATTCGCCCTTATCATAGGCCCTTATCTTTCAGGACGAAATGACCCTTAAAAGTAGGGGCCCTATACCCTTATACTATGAATCCCTATATGGTATATGAACCTTAAGCCCCTGTTAGGGTTCATTTCGTCCTTAAGGTTATCTTTCAGGACACCATCGTCAGCAACAGCCCGCGCTCAACAATCAAAAAGTTCGGACTCTACGGGCTGAGCGCTAAACCCAAAAATTTCCCCTTAGGGTAACATAGGGGCGTTAGTAATTAGAATAGGGTGTCGGATATATTATATTCTACTACAGTTATAATAAGGAACCCCCACAACCCGATTCTAAGTGTTTAGGCCCTTACACAAGGGTTTAGGCCAGGGCTCAGCCCGAAACCCTGGGATTTCCCGTAAGGTCGGGTTTTGGTGTAATATAGAGGCCTGAATAATTACCCATACTATTTTAGGGTTCCTTATTATTGCTATATTAACAAACCCCAAAACCCTTTTGTAATTATTAAGACCCCTATATCCTAAACCCTAAACCCTACCCTAGGATTTCCCCGGAAGTTGGGGTTTTGGTGTAATATAGGGGCCTGAATCGGCCTGAACAATTACCCAGACTATTTTGCGTATCAAGGCCCCTACTAAACCCCAAACCCTAAACCCTACCCGAGGATTTCCCGATAGGGGCCTGAACAATTACGTACCCACACTATTCTACCGGTTCCTTATTGTAGCTGTAGTATAATATACCCCAAAACCCTATTCTAATTATCAAGGCCCCTACATCCTAAACCCGAAACCCTAAACCCTACCCTAGGATTTCCCTTAAGGTCGGGTTTGGTGTAGACTCCAGGCCGTGACCTCCGACGATTGCGATCCAGGGGCCTTCCGCCTGGCGGCGCGCAGCTAAGGTTTAGGGCTGGGTTTAGGGATTTAAGGTTTTCAGGGATTCAGGCTCTTTAGGGCTTAGAGTGTAGGCATTTCGGGATTTAAGGTTTAAGGTTTAGGGATTAGGGTCTAGAGTTTAGGGATTAGGGTTCTAGGGTTGAGATATTTTGGATTTTTGGGGCTTAGAGTGTAGGGATTTAGGGTTTAGAGTTTAGAGTTCAGGGGTTAGGGTGCAGCTAAGGTATACGGTTTTGAAAAATTGAGGATTTAGGGATCTAGGGTTTAGGGATTTTGGGTTTTTAGGGCTTAGGGTTTCGGGGTTTTAGGGTTAAGGGATTAAGGCTTAGGGTTTAGAGCTGAGGGATTAGGGTTTAATTAGGGATTAGGGCTCGTTGGATCGGGTTGTGAAGCATTAGAGCTTAAGGGTTTCGGGATTTGGGGATTAGGGCAAGGGCTGTAGGGGGATATTCGGTAACCGGGGCTTGAGGGATTTATCTGAGGATCAGGGCTGTAGGGATGACACTGTTGACCAAAACGCTGAACCCTAAATCCTTACATCCGCAAACCTTCAAGCCACGCAGCGGACTCTACTCACAATGCCTACCAAAAGTAAAAGCAATACAACATGCAACGTCACGGTGCTGAGTGACTCCACTTTCCGCTCCGATTCGGGGACACGCAGTGTGCACGCGCGGGGCAGCACTTCTCCCCAAATTTCGGTCTGAAGACAAGGTGGCGGGCTTCGCATTTCTGGCAACGCGTCGTGAGAAACCGCGACGTGGATTACGCAATCACTGCGTACTGTGCATTTTGCGGCGACATCTACTACGTGCCGATTTTAAGATCCACTCAGGACGGCACTTACCCTAGGGGTCCAGGTATCTCTTTAGGAGGGTCCGGA